CTTGGTTACGCGTCCTTGGCAGAAATTGAAGCAGCTCCACCCACTGCTGAACTAGAGCCTATACGTTCTGATTATAGTCAGGTAACAACGGTTCAGTAATTTTTCTTCAACTGTATAACTTTTTGCAGGAAACATTCTTAGGGTAAAACCCACAGAAAATGCTTTATGCTCCTGTCCTATCCAAACGAGATAGGTGAATCTGATACTTCATTCTTTGTAAAACAGCTGGATGAAGTGGACATGGGAATGACATATGAGGAACTCTCAGTCTATGGAAGGCTGCGGAAAATTTTCCGCTGTGGTCCCATATCTATGTTCAAGGTTTGTCTAATGCCTTAACTTTATTCTTTCATAATGGCTTTTACGGAGACCACAGAAGTAGAAAGTTTTGGTGTGTGCTCATTTCCAGGATCAGTTCTAAGAGGACAGATTTACTTGTTGCATTATCAATTCTATAGAGTGGTGGGAATCTTTTGCAGTTCTCTAACTCGGTTCCGATTTCCTGGTTACAGAACCTCTGCTACAGATGGGGTGCAAAATTGACTCCACAAGAGGTGGCTGACAAAGTGAAGCACTTTTTCAAGTACTACTCCATTAATCGACACAAAATGACTGTATTAACACCTTCGTATCACGCCGAGGTATGAATATGCTGAACTTAAGAAACTAACTGCAGACTAGAATGTCAGTGCTATGAAGCTTATTTCTGTATCTCATTTTGTTAACTTCGTGCAGAGTTATTCGCCAGAGGATAATCGGTTCGACCTTCGCCAGTTTTTATACAATGCTAGATGGCCATACCAGTTCCGAAAGATTGATGATCTTGTGCGTGAGTTAGATGGTGACAGGGTTCATTTAGGAGAATCAAGTGAGCTAGACAAGTTGCGTGACGCTTCACAAGGTGGAGGTGGGATGGGAGTTGTGGCAGCAGGCTCAGGCAATCCAAATGTTGGACTCTAGGGTTTTCTCTCTTTCATTTTAATTTTTTTCCTTCGTCATTGAAAGAAAACAGATAAGCTATTGATTGCAAGGATGCCTATTTTTTCAAATGTGCATGTTTTTCCGTCAAGGGATCACTTGTTCATATTCTCTCCAATACAATGGGTCTGGTGACTGACTGGTCTGTACATACATAAATGTTATTACGTACCGTGCTACAAGAGGAGACATATTATATACGTTTATAGGAGGCTAGCTATTATACATTTAGACTGCAACAAGATCACACAAATTTTATCGCATGGCTCAAGCTCAAGGCAGTGCAAGTGCAGCCAAAGTTATTATAGTTAAACTTAAATGATGTTTGCTACCTGTACAATACAAACAAAGCACTTCCAAGTCTAAGTCATACTTG